TGTGACAATTACTGCTCATTATATCACAGCAGAGTGGTAGATACAAAGCACTGTACTGCCCTATATTGCACCTTAATTTGTTTTTTATGAGTCTTGAGTTGAATGTTTTTTAATGGGCAAAAAAATACATAGATAAATAAATGACGAGTTAAAATTTTCTTGTCTTCTTTTCTTTTTTTGCTGATCTGAAAATTGATCTGACTTAAAACTGTGATCAGATCCGAACCAACAAGTCCAGCTGTGAAATTTATTCACTACTAAATATTTCACAGTCAGCTGTTAGTGTTATTACAACAAAGTGAAAGTGATTGTGGATTACAGCCACGATCAGTGGATGCTGAGGTGCAGAGTCAGAAGCTACAGATTTCGGGTTTGGGATTTGAGAGCAGTGGGGATTATGGTGTGGGGTTGTTTCTCAGGGATTTGGCCGGGCCCCTTAGTTCCAGTGAAGTGAACTCTTAATGTTTCAGCATACCAAAACATTAAGGACAATTACATGCTCCTGTTATGGTTCAAAATATTGGGGATGGAGACAAGAGAAAAACCACAATAACAACACTGGTCCGGCCGGGTTCAAGTCAAACGATGATTTTAATGGTCACACACGTGGGAGATGGAAACTGTATGCAGACAGCCTCAGATCTCATCACAAAAAACACATCTCCATAGTTTTGTGAAAATCAGGGTATTAGAACGCCCCTTCATGCGTAATGACAGGTGTAATACAATCAATGTTGACAGTTTTATTTAACACAGAAAAATAACATTGTCTCCTTCCCGAGGGCAGACGCTGACTGCCCCCCGTCTCCTGGAACCATCCGTCCCCTGGAGACACAACATTGCAGCTACAAGGACTTCCACATTGATTAAGACGATCAGTGTGTATTGCTCTAAAACAAGTGTATAATACTAAATGAATAATGCTTGGTCAGCTACCACTACTTAAAACATAACAAAAAACATAACTGAGCACAAGATCACCAAGAATAACATCGTATAAGTGCTGTGTAAGCGTGTTTGCATTTAGCCCTCTGCACTCAAAGTCAAAACCTGCAATATATCAGTCCGGACCATCACGCCGAACGAAGCTTATGACCTTCAAAAGACCAAGTGCCAACTCATCATAAGCACAATTGCAAGGTGTGTCTGAAATTATTGAAACCACTCTTTTTAACAAAAGACAAACAAATTAACAAATCTTCTAAACGCTATTCAGTTCATTTCAATCATTAATGATTAAACATGAAAGTGATGATTTATGCTTTTCACTGATTCTCTAAAAAGCCCGGAAACTGACTCAGGTATTTAATATTTTAATCAATGTCGTTTAATTAACTACCACTTTAAACTTAGCAAAAAACATAATTGAATAAAAGACCACAAAGAATAATATGATATCAGTGGTATGTAAGCGCGTGCGGCCCTCTATGCTCGAAGCCTTTCCCCTCCATAGATCAGTCAGACATTCACGCTGACTGTAGCTTTTAACCCTTAATTAACTTGAGCACAACTCTATAATAAGCAACAAACTGCAATATGTATAAGTTGATCATGGTCACATCTGCAATGAAAGATCATATTATTATTCTGGTACCTGTAAGTAAAAAATCAAACTAGAGTTATAACAATCACTGTAATACAAAGGCTAATGTAAGGTCAAAAACTTCAGTATATATTCAATGCAAAGCTGGTTATATGATTCTAATGAACTAATAGTGCCATATTAAAATGATGAAACTAGAAGAGGAAAAAACATCCCCTTTTTATTCTACACTCCCAACTTTGGGGGAGCAGCTTGGCCATGGCTCCTTCCTGTTCCAACATCACTGCACACTAAACACAAAACAAGGTCCACAAAGTCATGAATGAGACATGAATGAGACATAAATGGCCCTGCAGAGAGTCTTGACCTCAACACGATAGAACACTTTGCAACGAGTAAGAGCGGGGTCTCTAATTCATTTACGGATGGTCAGTCACTGACACTGGAGCCAAGCCTCCAACTTCAGTTCACAAACTTGCTTCTGGAAAAATGGTCAAAAATTCCCATAAACACTCCTAAACCTTGTGGAAAGCTTTCTGGGCCCATGTTATATTAAACTCTATGGATTAAGAATGGTATGTCACTCAAGTTCATACATGTGTAAAGGAAGATGAGCAAATACTTTTGGCAGTATATTGTAATCCTTCAGCATACAGTACGTTATGTAACTTACTTTCATACTGCTAACAGATAAAAACAAACCTCAGGGTGGTGGTGAGGCATCCTTAGGGAAGCAGACGCAGGAGGCAAATGTGTCAGCTCTGACAGCGTCTATCGCCAAGCTGCAGCAGGAGAAACAACAGCTGCAGAAAGAGAAGGACGAGCTGCAGACCAAGCTCGCTGCAAAGATGGCTACTAAAGGTAGACTCCTCATTTTTCTTTATCGTTTTCATTCATGCATCTTTGTGAAGCCACAAGAATGAATCGTCTCCTCTATGAGCTGTCAAATACAGCCTGGATCCTTTCAATAAGACTTTAGTCTGATTTAATTTAAGATTACTTTTTTTTATAACCCATCTAACAAGCATAGTGAATCAGCTATTTACCAGCCGTTAAGTAAATATCTTTGGTTGCACCAATTTCCTTTCTTGTCTCATCAGCTCCTGCTGTGGTGACGTCGGCTCCTATCGTCTGCCCCAACGACTGGCACCTCTTTAACAACAGCTGTTACTTAATCTCCAGGAACTCGCGGGATTGGCCAGAGAGCAAGTCATTCTGTGAGAGCAAAGGTGCTCACCTGGCCATCATCCACACACCTGAGGAGCAGGTACAGTTTGATCAATTTCATTGTGTTTTCCACTAAAGATGCAGTCATGCTGTATGCATGTGGTGCCAAGGAGCGATACACTGATTTCTGGCTTTTTTTTCTTTGACAACAACAAAACATTACTTCTGCCTCATTTGGGCTTTTGTGGAATTTTCTTATGTAAAATTCCCTTAAACAGAGCAAGGAAAGAGCTGACTCTATAAACGCCCTTTATTGTATAAAGTCATTACTGATTAATGCTTTCTTGAATGTGAATGCTTCCTCTGTATGTTTCCTTTCAGACATTTCTTTGGAATCTTCTTCCCAGAGGACACTGGAACTCCTACTGGTTTGGAATAACTGATGAAAAAACAGAAGATGAGTGGAAATGGGTCGACGGCACTCCGCTGATCGGAGGGTAGGTCGTTTGTTTCTCTGCTTACCTTCTTCCCAACCTGTTCAGGACTAAAACTTAACACGTGGCCATGTTAGCATTGCCTTACAACACGATGCAATGTGCTAACAGAACAGTGAATGAAAAACAAGTTTGGTGCCAAATGAGATTTGTGGTGTGATTTTTGATTTTTAGAGAATGTTTTGAAATAAAAGTCAAATTGCATTTAACCTGTGCGATTTTTTTATTATAAAAAGAAAAGGTTTTCCACATATGCAAAAAGTGCCCTTTTTTCCCCCTGGAGCACTTGCCCCCCAAAATGTCTGTGCACGCCACTGGCCAGAGGCAACAATCAGAGACAACATCATCACATTAGAAAGGTATAGTAATCATCCACAACTATTTTCCGTTGCGGATGATAAAGGATTCATAAAGTTTATCCATGTAGTGAATCCTATGTATACAATTCCAAGCAGGAAAACACTCTCCCAAATAATCATCCCAGGCCCATATGACAGAGAATGGTCATCCTCTTTTTGTTTTGCATATTTTAATTTATATTTTATTTTGTTGTGGTTTGCAGTGTTTTGTGTTGTTTCACTTTAAATTTCTTTAAAAGGGAAAAGCTGAAAATTCAAATAGTTAAAAGTTGAAATATAAATAGTTGGTTTTTGTATTTTATAATTTATTTATAACATTTTATGTGGAGTGAATAAATAAAGCATATTTACGTGGCTCCTAAAACACAATAGAAGTGCTCCAGGATCCTCGTGGCTACAAGCCAGGAAGTATAACAGGATTTGGTGTGTGGTAGTAACAGGTAAATGAACATATTTTAAAATTTATTTGAATATATATGAGTGTTTGTGTATAAATATGCAAACAATACACACATGCTTTCAATTGTGTCATGTAAGTAATCTAGGTAGCTCTGTACGTGCTTTGGAGTTTGTACTTGTTTCAGAGTTTGTATGTGCTTTGTCTCTAGGGGCCACCGTATATATTTTTGTATAAACATTTATAAATAAAACCACTTTTGTTTACATTAGTAATTCCTTTTGTGCATAATTTTATATTGTTGTTGATAATAAATTAATTAAAGTGACAAAACAACCTGAAGAGCCGGTTGGGAGCTGAAAGAGCCGGTTCTCTTGTGTCAGAAGCATGTGGTGATGCAGGAAGAGTTTGGCTGTAGACTAATGGCAGAGTTTTCTGTTACAAATTTTGCCTTTATGATTTATTTCCCTTGGAGATTTTTTTCTTGATCTTGTTCCACACTTTGAATCTATCAACATACATATTTACTCCTTATATGATGACTGCAACTAAAATACCCTTAATTAAATTTGTTTAGTCTGTAATTTGATGACTTTTCCAAAAAGTGGCCCAAAATACACATGATAAAAATGTTTACAATTTTACATGGGTGCACAGACCTTTGTACACTGAGGCTGTTCCTGGTCAAATTTGACTTGTATCAATAGAGATGGACTTTAGATCCACTGGTGTGGGTCAGATAAAACAGTGTGGTGATTATAGGGATTCTTGAGACTGTGAACTAACTGGAAACTGTCTGTTTGTATATTTTATGGAACAATGTTAATGTTCAAAGCTGACCTTGACACTGTCACAAGAACTGTCACAAGAACAGAGACAGAAACCTGCTGGTCTTTGAAGGATCATGGTGGAATCTCCAAACAATGCGATAGTAAAACAGCACAGGGGCGATCATATCTGATGCACATAAAGGATAGTGACCATGTGAAGATGAAGGAGAGGGTGCCTTGGCACAGACATGAAGCCTGACATGTGGTGGCATGGTGGACTGACAGCATGAAGCTTCCTGGTTCCTTTATAGGTGGAGTTTGCAAATGTACCACGTTACATTTCTCTTGCTTCCTCCCACAGTGCAAAGACATACACGTTAGGTTAATTTAATTCTAGAAAGGATGTGGATGTGAGGTAGATAAAGTGCTTTAGGTGCATAGGGTAAAGTCCTGTATTAATTTATCGCCTGTAAAAAATATAAAGTGTGACTTTGAGTGGTCAGTAAGAATAAAACATAAAAGTGAGTTTATTATATTACAGGTGGCAAAGGCCCAGCTCTAAACAGCACGGACAGATCCAGTCCTTAAATGCAACGCAGTAGTTTTAGAATAGAACAGAATTTAACTTTATTGTCATTGCACATGTCACAAGTACAAGGCAACAAAATGCAGTTTGCATCCATCCAGAAGTGCTTTAGCCACAATATAGATATATTACAAAATATATATTAGCAATAATATAGATATACAGATATATTACAGAAAAGGGTCCATTATGGGTATGTTATAATGTACACGGTATGAAGGTATGTTATGAATATGCTATAACTATAAGTATGTACAGGCTGTAGTGGGTGTACGAGCTATGTACAGGCTATGAACAGGATGTAAGTAGGAAAACTACAGAGAAATATGAACTACACAAGTTATAAACAATTGTAGAATGATATATCGTATTGTTTTGCAGAAGCACTTCATTGAAACACAATTCTAATGCACTTTTACTTAAGTATTTGTACATTTTACTGTGTTATGCTTTGTTCTATATACTAATATATGAACCTGTCTCCATAGCCATGACCACACCCAGGTCATGGCTGCGTGTGTCAAAGTCATCTGGTCTTTCAGGTGGTAGAGTTAACTGAGAGGAAGACAGCTGAGTATGGGAAGTTTGCAGGGGATCGTCTAAGCAGGAGCAGCTATTGCTACCCCACTGAGGTCCTGCTAAGGTTTTGCCGGGCAGACACTTCACACTTCAAGCTGTTATGATTCAGGGGACTGCACAATAAGAAGTCCCCTAAATCAGGCGCATCAATATTGCAAAGAGGGCATCAAGTCTGCTGTGGATTAAAAGAGGCAACCCATGGATCACATAAGCTACCTAGACATGAGTTAAATATTCATCACTCAGGCTGGGCCACCTATGGCTTTATTTCCCATCAAATTGCAGCCACATTGAAAAAATTCTCTAATCATGTGTGAAGATATTACTGGACCAGAAGATGTCACCATTACACAGTTTACTCAACTTTCAAACCACCAAGTTTCTAATATGAGGCACTGCATGATATCAGGAGCTAGCCCAGATTGTAGCATCAGCACTCTGGCACTCTTGGTGGTGAGGCGTCATGACCTGCTGTGGTTATTTGAAGGTGATGAGATGACCTGCCACATCTGTTTGAGGTGCTGTCACAGCCTGTGGAGCAGAGGTATAATGCCCTGTTTAGTTTTATCTCCTTTGTACGGCTAAAAAAGGCAGCAAGTTTAAGCAGGTAACACTTTTTTAAAAATGTATTTTATTTTTGTTTAATTTTCTCTTTGACTTATTAAAAAGTTTAATAGTATCTTATGTTAGATTTTTCTATTTCTATTTCATTTACCATTTTTCTAATCTAGACATGTACAAAATCATCCATCAATATATTTATGATATCATATGGTCAGTTTCGAAATGTATTAAATTAAAAAAAAGCTAATACACACACAAAAAAAGTATAAAATAGAGAGGGTCTAACTTGCATCATAGAGCAGAAAACTTATTTATTCATAGATAAAATGGTCAAATCTGAGTAGACAATCACAAATGAATGGGAAAATTACTATACACAGGTGTAAGCACTGAAAGAAAATCAATCAATATGTACTGGCGAGATTAAGTGACAGTCTTTTTAATAAAATGCATTTAAAAAATTACACATGCAAAATATTTCAGAGTTTCTGGTTTGCAGAAAACAAATAAAAATTACATTTTCAACCACTCTTTGATATGGCGTACTGATTAGCTATTAAATCATTACCTCTAGCATCACTTTTAAACTCACTTGACAATTTAAAATAAAATCTTGAAAATTGGAAATTTCTAAACATCTCCTTCCATAATACATTTGAATCATAAGTGTTCTTGTCATGTTTGTACAACACATGATGGCGCTGTTTACTCACAGAAGAAAGATTTGTTGTTATCGTGATGGAGACTGTGCCATAAATAAGCAGTAGTTTTGTGCAGTATTTTTCACTATTATTTACATACAACAGTTATCTTTTCTTTACAAGAGGTTAAGAAAATATTAAACGGTAACAAATCAACGCACAGTGTAAAGATATCTGACTTTCAGTGTTTGAAACAGTCCAGTCTCAAACATCAATTTCAAAAGACCAAAAAGTGTAATGCTTAATTTTGTTAACAGTTACAAGGTCACTGTTCATTTATTCTTAAATGAAGCTTTCTGAGATTCATTCTCTGATATTTTATAATCACTTAGTGGGAAAATTTCCTGATTCATTTTTTTGCTTGTGTTTGCTTCAAATCCCACGAGAGTCAAACAAAAGCATAAATCAGAGGCCACAATATTCAGAGTCTATAGAAAACATGGAAACTGTAGAGTATTTACACTGAACATGTTCATTGGTTCCCTTCAATAAAAATCAATCAGTTCATCAAATAAAATCTGTTGATTGACTCGATTTGATTGACAGGACAGTTGATTAGAGGTGCTGAGTTTTCACCACCATCATTGAGACAGGGACTGAAGTATGGGTGGAGTTTCTGAATGAAGGAGCAGCTAGTAAAGGAGTAGATAAGAGCTGCAGTATCCACATCATAAAACGAAACCAGACCCTCCTCATAATCCACAAACACCCACACCTTCTCTGGACCAGACTGATAACAGAGACGGACTGAAGGGCTAGCAAAAGCTCTGTACTCATTTCTATTTCTCAAGCCTAAACTCCAGAAACCATCCTGAGGAGTCAGCGTGATTTTTCCCTTCCTGTTGACCAACTCGCTGGCCACTCCTAAATCCCAGGCAGTCTTTCCTTTAACCTGAACCTCGAAATAAAATCTGCCCGATGATAAACTCTGCTTTCCTAAAACATTAGGACATGGAGAGAATCTCTGTGGGATGTCTGGAAGATTCTTCCTCACATCACCACAATGCACCTGTTTTCCATCATCAGATAGGATGAGTCTCGAATTTGCTGTATCAGGATCAAGAGTCACATCCACTGCATACTGCTGGACCCTCTCCAGCTCAGACTCAAGCAGCTTCTTCTTCATGCATTTCCTGAGTTTCTCCTCCAGCTGAGCCACAGCTCTAACCACAGTTCCCTCATATGAAGGTGGATGAACTCTGATCTCTGTCCAGTCCTTCGTGGGTAAAACAGTTTTCAGGGATGAGAAGCTTTGGAGGACGTGTAGGTGGTCTTCAGAGTGTGAGAGCTGCTCCATCTGAGAGCTTGTCTTCTTCAGCTCAGAGATTTCTTGTTCCAGATCCTTGATGAAACCTTCAGCCTGTTTCTCTGTTGTCTTCTGTTTGCCTTCGATCTCCTTCATGAGCTTCTTCATTCCCCTCTCAGCAGACTCCTGCAGAGCAGTGAACACCTGAAAACCTTCTGCTTTCTCTCTGTCTGCAGAATCTTTACTCATCTTTACTGACTTTTTGATCTCCTGAATCTTCAGTTGTCTCTTCTGGATCATCAGCTGAATTTCAGCCTCTGTCTTCCACAGCTCTGCCTTCTTTCCCTCATATTCTTCTCTCAGAGGAACAAACTCATGAGTCTTGTGTTTGAAAACAGAGCAGAGCGTGCAGACACATGTCTGGTCAGTCTTACAGAACAGCTCCAGAGGTTTATCGTGCTTCATACACATCCTGCCTTCCAGGTTCTCCAAGGGCTCTACCAGATGATGTCTTCTCAGACGTGAAGCTGTCAGATGAGGCTCCAGGTGCGTCTCACAATAGGAGGTCAGACACACCATGCAGGACTTCAGGGCCTTCAGTTTGCTTCCAGTGCAGACGTCACAGGGAACCTCTCCTGGTACGGCAGCTTGTTGCTCTGAGCTGGCAGACAAACTCTGCAGCAGATCATTCCTGCAGACTCTTTCTAAAACCTTCCTGGTCACCTCCACAGCTCCAGGAAGAGTGTAGGTGTGCACCATCAGGTCCACGGTGTCCCGTCTTTTTGCCGTCTGCAGTCGGCTCTTTTTGATGGTTGGTCGACTGGCAAGGACTTCTCCCTGCTGCAGGCGCCACTTAAAGCCTTCAAACTCATCGTCTGTTAAATCTTCCAGGATGTTTAGGAGCTCCTCTGGTCTCATTATGGCTTTCTGATGAAGTCAGAAGAATATTTTAGCAAATATACATTTGGGAATATCTCCCGTACACGTTAACAACAAATATACTTTTTTCCTTTTTTCTGTGGGTCTTTTACATCGAATGAATTAAATTGTGTAATTTAAACTTTTTACTCAAAATGTGTTTGATGAAAAGCAAGGCAAGAAATGAAACCAGACTTCTTCCTGGTGAGTCACTTTTTCTGGCAGAGACACAAAGGTTGATGATTCAAATCCTGTGTTTTCATGACCTCACTGAGATCAACAAATGCAAATAGCTGCATATCCCCTGATGATGCTTGTAGATATACTTGAGTTTTGATTTGTTCTGTCCCTGTGTCACAGTCCCGGGTTTTGGATCCACAGTTTTCAATTACAAACTTTAAAATCTTGTCTTTATTTAACATTCTGGTTCTCAGTCTCATTGTTCATTAATCTTTGAGTATTTGTTTCAGTGTTTGGCTGCTTTCAGCAGGTTCAACTTTTATTTTGTATACTGTCTTGTTGTTTCCTTATTCTTCTGTGTGTCCGGTCTGTCAGTTTTGTATCTTTGAGTCTTTTGTCTCCAATAGTTACTTTCTGTTTTATTTTGATAGTTGTTTGTCACTGTGCTTTATTTTGTGTTCTACTTCTCTTGTCTCATCATCCCTGATTTGTTCCCGCTCCACCTGTTTCCTCTTACCTCTCTACCTTTTGTGTTTATTGTCTCAGTTTCCCATCATTCCTTGTTGGGCATGTGCTTCCTGGTGTTTTCTCTCCCTAAGTTCCAATAGTATTATTCCTTAAAGCTCCTGGTTTTGGGTTTTGTTTCTTGTGGTTTTTGGACTGGTTTTTTTTTTTGAACTAAACAGTAGTCAGCCCTGCGACAGACTGGCGACCTGTCCAGGGTAGCGCTGTACCTTGCACTATTTTATCAACTGATTCACACTATAACCAGGGATTGCCTCTTATCTGTATTTTAATTTTATTACAGTACAGTACTCAGTTTTTGGTAGCCATTGTCCTTCATGTAAATATGTAAAAATTGTGTATGTTTCTGCTCTGTGTCTTGTGTACTGTTTGTTTGTATATGTGTCTTTCTCGCTGCTGTTACACCCAAATTTCCCCTTGTGGGACAATTAAAGGATTATTCTATTCAATTCTACCCTGCCTCCCCCCCCCCCCCCCCCCCCCCCCCCGGAAAGGATAAGCCGAAGCAAATAGATGGATGGACTAAACAGTATTAAAGACTCGCTTTATGTTCACCTCCATCTCTTGCATTCTGTATTTGCATCAGCAGACTACAAACTTCATTCAACGGACACCTGATCGTGACAACTTTATGTATTTATTGCCACATTTGGCAGATTTTACAGACTCTTTTACAACTTTAGGCTATAAAAACTGTAGTTTGTGACACTGACTTTCGCTACATATAACAATAAAATGAATAAGCATAAATGAATGAAACTTCCTGTTTGATGAAAGCTGGAAGTTTTCTGTTAATTCTGGTTAAAACACAATAAATATCAGGTGTACTCACCAATAATCAGATTCAGGTCAGATGCTGGGAAATAAAATATGAACTCAGTTGGATTTTCTTCAGAGAGAAGCACAGAGATGTGTCTCGACTGCAGCTCTGTCATCCACAAACTTTAAGGTGAATCTCGTCTGTCTCGTCTCACTCCGCCTCTTACTTCACCTCTGTTTTCAGGTTTGTTTCCTTCTGCAGGTTCAGACATGATCACAGATACATACATGTGAAACAAGCAGAGTTTAAAATGTTCTCATTTAATGGGATTTTTTTGCAGCATAAAAGAGCCAGTGTTGGTGAAAGCACTTTGGAAGCATGAACCTGTTAAACTGCAAAACTCCTCAAGTAAGAAAATGTAGCGAAAAAGAAACATTTGACATTTTTCTCCATGTACATTTTTATATTTGTGTTCTATATGATCACTTGGGGAGTAACTTTACAGCAACACTGCAGAAATGACTGACCAGAGAAAAAAAACCTGAACAGTCTAACTCTGCATTAGATTCCAGATGTTTTTTGATCTTCAGTTTTTCACTTTGAACACTTAGTGACTGTTAATAAAGTGACTGCTCATTATTGCTAGATTTATTTTTTTCCTTTCTTTTTGCCTGTCCCGTTTGGCTCTTTTGCCATCAGAATT